ATTTAATTTATTTAATAATAAATGGAAAAATATGAAAGGAATTAATAAAATAAAAAAGTTATTAAGGGCAAAATAGTATTTTTTAAGTTAGATATAGACCAAACGTGCAACAAAAATATAAAGTAGAAACGTTCCAAGTTAAAAATAATTATTATGGATCAAACACGCAAATTACCCTAAACCACAGAGACCATTCGTGTAATTTACCATACATCATTCAATCGAAACAAATCTTGAAAAAAATCATCCAAAGCAGCGCCAACAATGCAGCAGACCTTCCCTAGTTTAGATTTTAATACTAAAATGGATGTCACCACTCAAACCACCTAGGTGTACAAAAATAAACATTTCGGATACCATACTCATTATTTTGTAAGATCATTTTTGTGAGTATCGTGTTTTTAATCCAATTAAGTTGGTATAGTATAATATGTTTTCCAACCTAATATTCTTTTTGAAAGTATCAAATGAAATCGCTCACATTACTTGATCAACGTATGCCTGGTCAAGTGAAATGAAGTATGAACATGATTCAAAAAAAAAAAAAAATTTGATGAATTATGAATTTATGATTGTCTTTGTGATAAAACTTTAAAGCAAAATGTCCACAAATGTCTAAAATTTCCATAAATGTATAGTTAATTCAAATTGGGTTTCATCATCCCTTAAAAAATAAACCCCCACGAACCTCCCACTCTTCTGCACATCATGCACCAAACGCTATAGACAAATGTTAATTTGATGCTCATGGTCATGGTGGCCAGATTCAGATTTTCAATTCAGACAGGGTGGAACCATTTGACTTTTGGTGTCGCTGCCTACTACGTTCAACTGCTCTAATTCTTCGATACATCACAGGAACATAGAAACAACTCGGAAAAACCCTACACCGATCATCAACATCTCTGATTTCTTCAAAAGTTGACATTTTATTTCTGCTGTATTGGCATTATGTCGATCAAATCCAGGATTTAGGGTTCTTTACTAAACCCCCGATAATTAAGCAATGGGTTGGAAAAACCCATTTAAAGATGTGGCGAACTCAAAGCCATTGTTCTTGACGGTTTATGGTACTGTGTTGATCGGAATCGTCTTCTCTGCTATTTATGTCTTCTCCGCCGTCTACTCTCCTGAGTCCGCCTTCTCATGGAGCGTATCACAACGTACATCTCTTCCTTTCTCTCTGTGAATACACTTCTAATGATCTATGTCTATGTATTATACCGATGACATAAGAACTACGCATTTTCTTTAACTCTTTAATTGCCCTTTTACTTGAAATTCATCTGTCTTCCAAATTGGGATTAAAGTCAACTACCTTGGATTGATTTCTAGCCTTCCCTTAGCTTGTATGACACCAAAATCTTGTTGAATTAGGCATTCAAGACGAAGTATTTAGCTTTTCTTCTATGGTTTTCTTGTGAATGTTGCCTGTTAATCGGTGCTTTAGAACTGCAATTGAAGCTCATTCACTTCAAATCTTGAACTAATTTCAATCCAATTCTACTTCCATAGTTCCATGCCAGTAAATTGTTAAAAAAAAAATATACCATTTTAACATGTCTTCTCGTTTTATGTGTCATGATAGATGTGGCACCTTCTTCCCCAAATCAAACATTTGATTCTTCTTCTCCTTCGCTAAGAGTGGGTGGTGGTGTAATGGCACCGATGCCTCAGCCCCAAAACGGGAAACGAAACCCTATTTGGAAACCTCCCCCATCGGATTCAAAGATGCCCCCATTGGAGACATTTCGTTTAACAAAAGAATTGGTTCAAGAAAGAGTGAAAGATAACGTTATAATAGCAACATTTGGTAACTACGCTTTCATGGATTTCATCCTCACATGGGTTAAACACTTGACAGATTTAGGCGTTGAGAATCTTCTTGTTGGTAAGTTTTTTATTTTCACATACATTTACAAACCAATTAAAAAAAAAAAATACTAAAACCCATTTTCCAATTTGTTTTTATTTTCAAGGTGCAATGGACACAAAACTATTGGAGGCTTTATATTGGAAGGGTGTCCCGGTTTTTGACATGGGAAGTCATATGAGCACAATAGATGTTGGATGGGGTTCACCAACATTTCACAAAATGGGAAGAGAAAAAGTCATTCTCATTGATTCAATGTTACCTTTTGGTTATGAATTACTCATGTGTGACACCGACATGGTTTGGTTAAAGGTAAAATTTGTGACAAAATAGCACCATACTTTCACTTTATTTCCAATTTGATCACTAAAAATTAATTAACAATATCATTAATTTCACAGAATCCACTTCCGTATCTTGCACGTTATCCTGAAGCAGATGTGTTGACTTCAACCGATCAAGTCACACCAACGGTTTCTGATGACCGATTAGACATCTGGCAACAAGGTTAATATTGTAATTTCAAATTGGATTAAGGAGTTGTTTCTTTTTTCTTTTTTCCTATAACGTTAAAGTGGTTGAATAGGTATTGATAGGATAAAGTGTTGTATACATAAGGTCTGTTTGTTTGTTTGTTTTTTTTTTTTTTTTTTTAAGACTAAATGACCATTTTGCCCTTATATTCCAAGAAAAAGAAACATCCCCTAACATAGTTTCTTTCTTGAATTTTTTGGGGGTGGAAAGTTGGGGGTGCATACAATATAGGTATCTTCCATTGGAGACCAACAGAATCTGCAAAAAAATTGGCAAAAGAATGGAAAGAGATGCTTTTAGCAGATGATAAAATATGGGATCAAAATGGTTTCAATGATCTTGTGCATAGACAATTGGGGCCTTCTGTTGATGATGAAAGTGGACTTGTTTATGCTTATGATGGAAGTTTAAAGCTTGGCCTTCTTCCTGCAAGTATATTTTGTAGTGGGCATACTTATTTTGTTCAAGTAAGAGCTTATAACAAATACTAGAAATAATCTTTTTTGAAACTTGTTCATTTGATTATTTGATTATTTATCTTTTTTGCATTTGTGTAGGCTATGTATCAACAACTCAGATTGGAGGCGTATGCTGTGCATACCACATTTCAATATGCAGGAACTGAAGGAAAACGTCATAGGTTACGTGAAGCTATGGTGTTCTATGATCCACCAGAATATTTTGACTCACCAGGTACTTATTTTGTTTAAATTCTATAAATATCTGTTCATTTGTGGATTAAATAGGATGTAAAGGTGAAATTGTTATGATTTAAAATACAAGTTGTATTTGTTGTGTTGATATACAGGAGGGTTTTTGGCATTCAAGCCATCTATTCCAAAAAGCTTGTTACTTGATGGGGAACATAATCTTGAAACTCATTTCACTCTTGTTAATTATCAAGTATGGATATATGAACATATTTATGTCATGATTCGAGTTATTTGATGTTGAATTGATTTATGTGAGTGAATTGCAGATGAAGCAAATAAGGAATGCTCTTGCCATAGCATTAGTTTTGAATCGTACATTGGTGAGGAACTATTACAGTTTACTTTTTTATGTTAAGTTTTTTGTTGTTTGATTTTGAGCTAAATGCAAGAAATAGCAAAACACTTTCATTGATATTTTTTTGCATTTAACCTTTGGATTTTTAAATTCTAATTTGAAATGTTTTGAATTTTAGGTTATGCCTCCATTATGGTGTAGGTTGGATAGATTATGGTTTCCACATCCTGGAGTTCTCATAGGGTCAATGACAAGACAACCCTTCATCTGTCCTTTGGATCATGTATTTGAGGTACATTTTTTTGCAAATTCAGTTCTGAAAAGACCAAATAAAAACAACTTTAATTACTTGTTTTATAAGTACAATAAACTATAAATTATTAGTTAACAAAAAAAGATGATCTGTTCAGGTTAACGTTATGTTAAAGGCAATGCCTGAAGAGGAATTTGGGCATGGAATCAACATAAGAGAGTATTCTTTCTTAGATAATCCATTGATGCCTGCAAAGGTATGGATATAGGGAGAAAATGGTAATTTCACTTCAGATTCAGACATCGTTTTTCCTAAATTTCGTGCTTTCAGGTGAAGGATTCATGGCTCAATGTACAACTATGTCAACAAGGATCGGAAAATTGCCAATCAAACATTACAAACACAACAGGAGTACTCAGATTTCCCAGACACAGCAACGAAGAAACTGTATGCACGATTAAATTTTTGTCTGTAAATGCATCATCATAACTGGTAAGAAATTTGAGCCTGATTGTGACCTAATAATCGTATAAAAATATTCAACAGTTGAAAACGGTGTTCTCGCCATTGAAGGATGTGAAAGTGATCCAGTTTTCATCGATGCAAGATGCCTTCGAAGGATTCACTGACAAGGCAAGCAATCGATTTAGGGTTTTTAGTTTTGACGTGATGAGATTGCTGAAATTGATGAAATTTTTTGATGTGATCAGATCAGGGAAGAAAAATTCAGGAAGCGAGTGAAGCGATATGTTGGAATCTGGTGTTGTGTTGACAGTCATACGCCGGGTCACATATATTACGACATGTATTGGGATGAGAAACCCGATTGGAAGCCTCTCCCTCCTCAAACCCCAGAAGATGATCATCCTCATTGGTGAATCGTGATCCATCCATGTTCATAGATAGAGAACTTTCATGTATACACAGAGGGAAGGGTGATCGTGATCGAATGATTGATTGATTATTGGGGATCGGTTTTGAACAGTAATGTTATAGTAATTTGTAGCCTTCTGGATTTGATCTTCTATATTGTCCCATAATTTAAGGGATATGCATAATCATATCATAACCATGGTTTCTTAAGATAACATAAATGATGATGAGCAAGGGTTTTAACTTGGGCCCACCTAAAAAATGGGTCGAACTATTTACTTAATAACCCTCAATTGTGGTTTAACATCGGGTTTCATTAATAACTCATGCATAGAATATGTCAATTGTGTTGCTATAAATAGAAACCTAACAAAAACCAAACATATATACAAGAGATCCTATAAATTCGTCCCAATAACATGCCAACCACAAAACAATTTCACGTTAAAAAATATTAGTGGTTTGTTTATCTTATACACAAAGTTAAATGGCAATAAATGAAAATTAAGACCTCATTTGTTCTTATTGCAATAAGGTATTAGACTCCCTTTTTCCTCTTAATTATTCATGTTTGAGAACTCCATGATTCTTCACATGGTTTTATAATTTTTAAAATAGACGTCTCGTATGATCTTTGTAATCCTTTTCAAAAAAATCGGGTTTGTATCATTAAGGACAATATGTACTTGATTAGGAGGTTGCATGCATGTTTTCCTATAAATATGTGAATGTTATCTTGTTTGATGTTTTTTCTCCTTTATACCTAATGGTGTGAGGATGTTATGTGATAATTTGCAGGGTCCTTGTTTCTAAATATATAGATTTTTTTTTACTTAGTAACGGGAGGCTTTGTAAGTGGACTTCGATAATGGCCAATCAACCTAACTCAAGTGGGGCGGGTGGTAGTGGTAATCCCCCATCATCGACGCAACCTTCACCAGGGGGATATCCTCCGCCCGGAGAACATACTGCACAAGGGTATCCACCCGGAGGAAATCCTCCATCATCTGGGCAACCTTCACCTGGTGGATATCCTCCACCTGGAGAACATTCTCCACACGGGTATCCACCTGGGGGATACCCTAAGCACGGAGAACATCCTCCACAAGGGGGGTATCCACCACCCGGAGAACATCCTTCACAAGGATATCCACCAACCGGATATCCTCCGCAAGATTACTCACAAGGGTACCCACAAGGATATCCTCCCCACCAAGGATATCCTCCTCAACAAGGATATCCACCACAAGGATATCCTCCTCAACAAGGTTATCCTCCACATGGATATCCTCAACAAGGCTACTCGCCTTATGGGTATCCACAAGGAGGTCATCCTGGTGCTTATCCACCTGCAGGTTATCCTGGTGCCCCTTCTGCGGGTGGATACCCACCAGCGGGTTATCCTCATAGTGGATATCCTCAAGGTGCTCCTCCTGGTCAACATGGAGGTACTCCTCCCGGTCAACATGGAGGTAAGTGTATCGAGTTTACTGTAGAGGAAAATAATTCATTTACCTTAATGATTCCAATGAGCAAAATAAAACAATATATCTAATTCTTTACTATGTAATTCACTTATGCATTTAGCACAAAAAGGAGACAAGCTCCCTGGTGGCGTAATGGGAGTGCTTGCTGGTGGAGCGGCAGCATACATGGCTCATGGTCATTATGGGCATGGTGGTCATGGTCATGGTTATGGCCATGGAAAATTTAAGCATGGCAAACACCATCATGGAAAATACAAGCGTGGGAAGTTTGGTAAGCACAAGGGTCATGGAAAATTCAAGCTCTGGAAGTAAATTATGGAAAATCTTGGATATGGTGAAATTCTATACATGACATGAGTTACGTAAATTAGCATAGACACACATATTTTCTTTTGAATTATAAGCTTATTTTTTTTTTTTCTTCATATTATCATTGTATATAAACCGACTACATGTTGTGAAATATTCGATGATAAAAAATGCAACATCCAATATATATATATATATCAAATTCAAAATTACAACATACATACCATGATGTTATCCATGATGTTCAAATCGTTTACTATGGTACATATATGTTCAAAATGTTTTAGCGTTGTTGTATTAAATGAAAATATTGATAATCTAACTAACCGAAGTCTAACCATGCCTAAGAAAATGACTTAAATGAGACATTTTTAATCTAAAAATATAATTACTAGATATGTATGGAAAAGAGAATGACTTAAATAAGACAGCTCAAAAATATATGTTATAATGTAGTGATCTTATTCCTAACATAATAAATCATCTTTGTATTTTCTAATTTAATAGGTGCCAACGCAAAGTCCTTAATTAATAACCAATCTGTATAAGAAAAAAGAAAAAACAACATACTTAATACGCAAATGTCAAAATACATAAACTCCAAGGATCAGACTCACGGAGTTAGATAAAGTTGTCTAAAAAAATATAGATTATAATTAAATAATACTATTTTCTAAGTTTACCAGCAATCCGTTGTAGTCTAGTTGGTTAGGATACTCGGCTCTCACCCGAGAGACCCGGGTTCAAGTCCCGGCAACGGAATTTTTTTCTCTTTCGAATTTATTTTGGATGAGGAGGATATGTGTCATTTCACTATCATTTGGCAGTCGACCATTGATTTTTATCGAGTTTTTGGCAGTCCAAAACTCTCTCTATAAATAGATTATCATTGACAAAACTACAAAATTAGTCCTTGTGGTATTCAAAAAACTTTGGATAAGGTCCAAAAAGTTTTTCGTTTGCATAGACGGTCCATAATCAAAGTTTTTTTTTATTGTTTTTGGTCTAAAAAAAACTTGAAATGATGGTTATACCCTTTTACATTCATTTTCATATATTTTTTTAATTTTTCAAATACTATTTTAATTTAAAAATAAAAAGAAAAGAAAATAATTACTCTCTCTCTTTCTCTCTCTCTCATTCTTTGCTTTCACCCTTTTAAATCACGAGATCCCCATCTCTTTCATCCCTTTTCCATCCTCTTCTTCTTCTTCTATGTTATTTTCCGACGGATTTCGCCGATGGTTGTATTTTAATCTCAACAATAACAGCAGCATTGCCGACGACATTAGTTTTTGTCTTTGGAGCTAAACCCTGAAGATTTATTTATATATCTCCTGTTAATTTCATTGCCAGAGAATAAAATATTAGGTCTGGAATGGCAGATTCTGGTAAGCCCATTTCGAGTTTGGGATTTGATACACTGTCCGATCGCCTCCGAAAGTCACTGACCTGCGACACTCATGATCCCGCCGATAATACCAATAAACCTGACTTCAGAGAACTCGATTTGGGTTCTCCAGTTTCGCCTTTGAGGGCTGGACCTGGACCTCTCTCTCTCTCTCTCTCTCTCTCTCTCTTTCTCTTTCTCTTTGTGTGTGTATGTGTGTGAAGATGCAGATCTGATGAGGAGAATAAAGGAGAAGTACACACATATCAGGGTTAAGGATATTTAAAACAGGATACGTTGTCATATATCTATTTCTTAAACATCTGAACAAAAAAATCGACCCCATCGAATGTGGATGGAACGTGGTAGAGGGCCGGCGATCTAATATTTAGAGCAGCGCCGACTATGGCGATGTTGGTTTCACCGGACGGTAAAGGCGGCAACGTCGGTTTGGAGGAAAGAGAGGATTGGTGGAGTAGAAGGTCTGGATCGTTTTTCAGCATCAACAGGGGAGCACATAAACACAACTCATTAAGAATCAGTGATGATAGATGATGAAGATCGATCATAAGTGTAGTACCGTAGATACACCAGTATTGAATTCCAGTAAAGACGAAGGTGTGGTGGTAATTTTGCTTGAATGAGATGATGAAAGGGGAAAGATAATGGTGATTATTTTGTTAAGAAGATGGTGGGTGATTATGAATATACACCCATAAATCAATTTGCAGAAACAAAACGTACACACAAATCGATTTTAGGAACCATCATCAAGAAAAAAATGGAGTATGTATGTATATGTTATTGACTTTGTTTTGGGTGGAGAGAGAGAGAGAGAGAGAGAGAGAGAGAGATTTATATATTTTTTAATTATTTAAATACCAAAATAAATAAAGAAAATAGAAAAAATAAATGAAAAAGGGTAAAATCGACTTTTCAAGTTTTTTTGGACCAAAAACAATGAAAAACTTTGATTTTGGACCTTTAGTGCAAGCTGAAAACTTTTTGGACCCCATCCAAAGGTTTTTGCAAACCATAAGGACCAAATTTGCAGTTTTGTCATTATCATAAATAACTTCTTTAAATAAAGGGGTTGAGATTCTCGATCAAACCTAACATACTTAATAAAGAGACTTGTGGATGGGGATCCGATTTCAACAAATTTATTAATAGGTGTAAGAGTTTATTTAATTATCTTTTTTTATTTAAATGGTTCAATCCATTTATTTAGTAGGTTTGTTTAGGAAAAATAAAATGGTCAATCGATTTCAAAAATTGGATATATTCCTGGCATCTCTCATCCCTTCAAGTCCATCTTAACAAATAAACCCAACTTTAGGCTATGGTATACAAATGATAGAACATATTGCATTAATATGTCAAAATCATTATAAGTTAACAAGATGATATATGTAATTTTCCATTAAGATTTTTGTGCATGATATTCATCAACAAAAAAAATCTAGTTCATGGGTGTAGTGGTTTCACAATGAAAGTACTTGAGTTCCATTTTTCATGTCAAATCTAGAGCTGTGTTTTTAGCGAAGATGCTACGAAACGTTTGGTAACTTCAAAATAAAAAATGAATTTATATAAGAGAATCATACATAATACATGTTTTGTACATAAGACGACTAAACAGATTAGAGACTAAAATATCCGATCTCGGCTCCTTCCTTGGATTTCACCTTGTTGGGATCCCTATCCCATGCCCCTAAGCGGCACCTGGTTTGACAAATAATATCCAACACCGACTAGGGCGGGTCAAACTATCACACCCCTAAATAAAGGATGACAGAAACGTCCGGGGATGGAAGACTTCATTTATAGTATCACAACAACGAGTATAATAGTGCTCAAAGTAAATACAACTATTATAAATATAATCGAGAAAGTTACATAGTTTCATGAGTTACATGTTTCAAAATCGTCTAAATTATAATGATAAAATGTTTTGCCTGACGCCGTAACGTCCTATCATCAAAAGCTGGTAGTTACCTGTTTTATTGATTATGTAGGGATGTGATTTAGAACCAGAAAACCGGAGCGGAACCGGAATCGGACTAGACCTGAAACAGTTAGAACTGGAATATATAAAACCGGTTCCGGTTCCGGGTTTAAAAATTGACTTCATCCAGGTTCCGGGTAATCCGGGTTTGGGTCCATCGGGTCCGGGTAAATCGAGTCTAAAAACCGGAACTGGTGTTAGGAACCAGAACCATTTTTAGGGTTGGAACTGGTTTTTGTGAAATGTTTAAAAGATGCATATATCATTCGTTTTAGCTCCAATTGACATGCGGTTTTTCCAACATGTAGTTTAGAGTTTGTATATGATTTTAGACTATAAATTTGTCATTTTTAGTTTGATATTCATTGACTTATAGTCCCCCAAAGTCGAAATATCAAAGCTGGAAGTTTTTAGTTTTTCAGTTTTTTTATATTCAATGAAAGTTTTAAAACATACATATCTAATTCGTTTGACGTCGGATTGACATGTGGTTTTTTCCAAATTGTAGTTTACAGTTTGTACATGAGTTTAGACTATAATCTTGTTATTTTTGGTTTAATATTCAATGATTTACAGTCCTCCGAAGTTGGGATATCAAAACTGAAAATTTTCAACTTTTCAACTATTTGTTTTTGTACTTTGTATTTTGTGAAAATATTAACACATGCATATCTCATTCGTTTAAAGTCAGATTGACATGCGGTTTTTTCTAGAGTGTATTTTAGAGTTTGTACATGATTTTAGACTATAATTTTATTAATTTTGGTTTTATATTCAATGATTACAATCCCCCAAATTCGGGATATCAATATGAAAATTTCAAAGTTCAACCCACTAAGTAGTAATTACCAAAAAAAAAAAAATGATTTTTCCGGGTTTTCCGATTTTATACCCACTTTATCCGGTTACAACCTACCAACTTTGATGTTTCTGGATTTTCCGGTTCTAAACCCATTTTACCTGGTATTGTACCCGGAACCGGTTCTTATATACCGATCCGGTTTCCGGTTCTAAAAAATTCCGTTAAACGGTTCCGGGGTTTCCAGGTCCGGGTCCATCCGTTCTGGGATTGGACCCACTTTCATCCCTATGATTACTTGAGAATACAAATAATTTTGAAAGTGTGTCAACAATTAAGTTGATGAGTGCATAATCTTTTAAATGTAGAGTTTGAAAACCTTTGTTTGTAAATGTAGTGTATACTCAAGAAAAGTCCAATATTTTCCTTATAAAATGATATGTATTCTTAAATCCCAAGAGCGAGTGTATGTGTGTTATTTCGTACTTGTAATAGTGTATGCAAATTTAGATTAATAAAACCCCTTTTTAATGTAGAAATTCCCGTAAACTATATGTGTCTTTATCTCCCTATGTGAGTCGCTATAACCATACTATGACAGAGTAGACCTGCTGCGACGTTCTTCAGTCGTCGGAACTGTTATGACATTTGTCACCCCCGACCGGCCAGTCAGGTTGTTGCAAACAACTTGGGTGTGGGTTGTCAATCCCAATATAGATCTATATACAATTATCACGCTCTCCCTACAAGAGACTCCGGTTATGACTTTTAGGAATTTTAACCCGTACTCTAAGAGTACAATCCATATACTCCCGTACTTCGACACATAATAGTGTCAAAAGGACTTTATACATGACAATACTTCTGGCACATTATATTACCATGATATGGGTAGGGCTCACACCCCAGATCATAATAATAACCCAACACAAGCAACACCTGAGATGCAGAGCTTTGAAAAAGACTTGGTACATAGAAAGTATTTTTGTACATATGACATACTCAATCGATCATCAGTCTCCT